GAATAAATTACAAAATTAGAAAATGTTGTACTTGAGGTAACTAACAGAACTGCCATTGAGTAGCCACATTAAAGTTTTTATTTCATTTTAGGGCCAAGATTTAAGGAAGTGTAGAAAAATGTTTGGATTGTACATTTTGGCAGGAGACAAGGTTTTCTAGCAGCTCAACCACAGTTTCAGCTATATATAAAAAGATGTACAGTAGCTGGTTATTAAAATAAGTGGAATTAAGGGAAACTCTAGTTGTGTAGGTACATATCCTCAAGATTTTACATGCAAATTCCCTCCTTTTCAAATCAAAATCTACCTGTGTGGTCATGACTGCGATGGAACTCATCTATGTATTTTGGCAAACATGTCATTTTTATTTGTTTTACTTCTTTTACTCTTGTCTACCTTTCTACCCACTAACCATCACAAGGATGACCAACACTCCAATGCAATTCTACATCATCAGTTTTCTTTTTTAAAGAGAGACCTGTCTTCCAAAAAACTTTTCTCTGAAGATCCAGGACAGAGCTTGAATTAACATTGGTGTTTTGCATCTCTTGTGACACATTGCCAGGTTAGAGCTCCTACAGATTTCCAGGGATAATATATGGAGCTGAAAACACATTCAAAATGCTGTTAGTTCTAGCTCCAACGTATGAGCAAGGAAGTCTAGCTTTTTTTTTTCCTAGTATTATATCACACCTCAAAGCTCAGGATATTAAATTTAAATTTTAAGTTAATTAAGCAGTAGATACTCTAGTAAGACAATCTAGGTAAATTTTTCATTCCATCATGCTTTGACATGTTCTGTGTTTGGGAGGTATTTTATAACTCCATTGGAATGAAAGTAATAAAACACAAGTGCTTCCTTTTACAATACAAAAGAAATGCTGAAAGTTTTGATTACAATGCAATAATTTGACAGTCAACTGTGTTTTCTTAAATATGGGTTAAGAAACAATACTGTTGAAATCTGATTCCTACATTCAAAGTCTTTGAGAGGTTCTCCAAAAGTGTTACCCTTTCAAGGGTTTCCTTATGCAGTTCCTTATGGAGGGGATGGTATGCATAGCAGGTTTCCTTTCTTTTGTTTAACGTAGGAGCAATCTGGTAGAGAATGCGACTAGAGCACAGGTAATGTTTAAGAAAAAGCACCCATTCAATGGTCCTTAGATTTTCTTTCCTCCTTTCCTTTCCTTCCCTTCCAAATTGTTTTGTCCAAATGGACTCTCCCCCCCCCCCAAGTATCCAGAAAACAAGCAATAGTAGTATCTGTGGGTATAGACACATATTTGGAGTAGTTTCAAAAGGCCAGCAGCTGTTACATTTTAATTGTTTCATGAAGACAAACATGAGCATGTAGCAAAGCTCAAATGCATAATTAGTGATTTTTGTGTCTTGGCAGAGACAGAGGTACAAATGGGAGTGCTCTGTCAAGCATCTGAAGAGTGGAGGAGAATGGACACACACCCCACACACAAGCGTCTTTCCTGATAGCAGCAGTTGCTGCTGGCTCCCTGTATGCTGCCTTGCTGGGGCAGGGTTCCCAGGTACTGCCATCCTGGCACCCCTGGCCATTACCCCCGACTCAGTTTATGCTACTGCTCCAAGTTTAACTGAATAAAAGAGTGGTAAAGTGAGAGTGGTTTTGCTACATTTGTATCATTCCTGGCTCGTCTGCCCCTGACAATTAGAACGTTAAAAGCTGCTGGCCTTTTGAAACTGCTCTAAATACATATACCTTATGTGAGGGGCCGGCAACCTTTGCAACCCATAGGCCATGACCACCATGCTGGTTGAAGTGCCACCACCGCTTTTCCAAGCCCCCCACCCCCATTCCAGGCTGGGGCATAAACACAGTTTCCAGCCCAGGAGAAGTTGCACCAGGTGGACAGCTTGGAATTGAGCCCAGGCTGCTGCTGCTGCCACCATTTCTCCCTGGGCCTTCACTCCACAGCTGCATTACAGATACAACTTCCAGCTGGTAGGGAGCTGCTCCTGGGTTAGTGAACCAGAAGCTTCATCTACACTGCTGATGTTTCTCACCAGCCGCCACTGCAGTGCAGGCACAGCTGGAAGCTGCCCAGCCCCAGCACCAGCCTGGTTGTGGACATGGGTACAGACCAGATCTAGTGACTGCAAGCCAGATCTGGCCGATCGACTATCTGTCGTTGACCCTTCTGAATGTGATGTGAGACAACAACAGGCATAACTACTTATAGAGTAGGAGTGGATGATTCAGAGCTTCACTTGAAAGAACTCTCATTCTTGCAGCTCCCTAATTGTTTCAGCTCTTCTATTCATTTCACTTTAGTTACGGTTTCCCTCTACCAAGAACAGTTTTATTAAGATGTTAAAAGGAAGAGTTGATGTTTAGAAGCTGACAATTGTTTGGTGGCTTTACCTTAAGAACCCAATATCTTTAAAACGGGTGGGTGCATGACCTATTTTGTCCTCCACAGCTTCACTCATGAAGGGGTGGCTGAAGTCACAAGATTTACAAAATGATCAAGTAAGGAAACAGAAAATTTTGCCCTCCTCAATTACAGATTATGTGGATCAAGCTGAACTGCATGGCATATTCCTTGGATGACAATATTGGTACATGCTCAGCTTCCCTTATTTGTAGGTGGCATTTCTTTGTCCTTTACGTACTGAGAATAAGGCTACACAAGCATCAGGAGAAGGATCTGTTGAGGTTTGCAGAATACACGAACGGGAGTTTCTAGACAACCTATTTTGCAAAAGCTCATGCAGATTGAGTGCAGGAAGTGGCTCCTTTATAAAGGCCTGAAATCTTAAAAAACACTTGCCCAAAGATAAAAGACATGCAATTCATCAGATTTTTCTAGTAATGGATTATTTTATATTTTAGTGGTTGGAATAGGGAGGGCTGTCTACATTTAGGATCTGGATTTCTCAGATAGAATCCAGAGATGCATGACTTTATCCTGTATAAACATGTTGATTGGTGAAACTGAAGGGAGGCAATTAAAAATAGACCAAGAGTGAAGATTTTCTCAAAGAACATTTCTGAATAGTAAGTGCATTTTAAAGTATTAAGACCTTTCAAAATAAGGTATGTCAATGCAAAAAATAAGGAACTGTATGGTGTTTGTTGAATTTGCCTAACTTGCCAATGGCAAAATTATACCTGGTTGAATACTGATGGTTAGGCTGACAGAATAATGTCAGCTAAGAAAGTTTACCTTTAATGTGTCTGTCTTGCTAGGCTACAGTAACTCTTGTAGCATGCAAAGACTTCTAGCCACTAACATTCTGGTCCCTGAAAATTTTTACCTCTTTTTACAAACTAATTAAAGTTTGTATTACATACTGGAGTGTTTCATGTTCTGGGTGAACTCTGAAGTGATCAGGCTTGAAAATACTGTTTCATCTCTTATTATTTATATGGCTATGCAGACACACAATTTATGGTAGAATTAGGCTGAATATTTTTCTTAGTTCTGAACCTGCAACTAGGTCAGCACGTTGCCCAAAGTTGTGCCAATCACTGACACTAGTATGCAAACACCAGCTTATTACCATTTTAGTCAAGACAGAGGGTGGGCAGAGTGGGAAAAAATAATTTCTCTTTCAAAATTAGCAAATGCACTGTTTAGAATAGTTAGCATATAGAATACAATGGACAAAAAAATTGGAAAAAAATTAAGCCCAGTTATCAGTGATAAAAATAAAAATATATACATCTTTATGGAATCTGACTCAAAAGTTTTTGAATAAGTATTCTTTACAGATGAAAAATTCCAACAGTGTAAAACCCATAATGATTAAAATATGACCTCTTTGGCACTCAATTTTCCAGTAACTAATACAAAATAGCATTTGGCCAAATTAGAACCTCTGAGCTTAACTGAATCTTCAGGGAACCTTTTTCAAAGGAAAAAATGTCTATGCCAAAATGGAAAAAAAGCTCCAGAGGAAAATGTAGACTTAGAGGCACTAGAAATAATGTACAGAGTACAAGTGAATTAAGTGCATCTGAAATAATCATTGGATCCTTGAAACAGACTACAGAAGGATACACTACAATCTTTATTTTTAAGAAGGAATTAAGAGTCACCCACTGTCCTACTTAGATTACTTACCGCCCACGTTTTAGTCAATCTGAAGATGGGGGCACTTTGTAATCCAGACACCACTGCCATAAGGGCATGCAGGTTATTCAGCTCGTATAATTTCTGAGGATGAAAATAAGAATAACTTGAAAAATACTTCAACTGCAATGAAGAAACATGCACATAAAAATTAAAAATACCCAAAAAGAATATATACAGTGATGTTAATGCAATCTAGTCATTTGTTCTAAAAGTTGTAATTTGACTGTAGCAAACCAAAGTGCATCCACACTACATTATGGAAATTTCCTACTTCATCATTACATTCACACACTTCTGTCTGCCCAGATTAACCACTCAGAAACCTAGGGAGATACAGCATTGTGCATTGTTCCGCTGTTCTGTTCTACGCTCTGATTTGTCATGCTAGCCATTCTGAGATGGATGTCAAACTACAGGAATTCTATGACTATTTAAATGATAAACTCCAATGATTCCTCTTATAGCATCTGTCAATTTTGTCTGCACTATTTTCTAAATGGTACAAGGCAGCATGGATGAGAAAGTGCTGTGCCATAGCCATGAAAGTAATATGAGAGGAAGATGCATATATGCATTGAGTCATGCAAGCAGATGGATTTGGCTCTATAAGATCAGAACTGTTAATGGTACCTCAATATAGCTAACAGAGCAGAAAATGAAATCTAGCAGTTTTGTTCAGACAACTGTAACTGACTGATGGGAGAAGAGCCATCTTGGCCTTCACAGGCAAGCATTAAACTAAGGAACCTCCAAAAAATGGTTGCTGTGGTGACAGAACCTCAGGACAAAAAAAAGGAATTGCCCTAGAAATCTGAACAGAAGTCATCCCATAGTTGCAGCAATGGAACTAGAGTTTCTATCAGCATGGGAAAGCATTTTACCTTCACAACATGGATTTCCACTTCCTTCTCTTTCATTGCTGACAACTGGTAGCTAAACAGTTTAGTGTGAGAATATCAACTGCTGGGGCTGTGGTCACAGATGTGCAATGCTATGAAGAGGGTTCTGCTATACAGTGCCAGCCTCCTAGGCTTTTTGATGGCTTTAAAAGATGTTTTCAAGTTTCAAGGCCATTGATAAGACACACAAACTTATTTTTGGCCCCTTTAGAAGTAAAGATTCCTCCTCTAATTTTGGCAACCCAGATTACTTCATCTGTGAAGCTTTTTTTACTGGAAGTGGGGACAAGAGTACTTTAACTTTACTCCTAGGTACTAAAAAAAATTCAGCAGAGTGCATTGTTTAGAGGCTGAAAGGGATTTGGGTGTTTCTAATCATTACATGCTTGATGTGATAAGTGTCTGATGGAGAATCAGAGAAAGCAGAAAGTGAAGACATTTTCTATATAATGGAGAAGGTGCCCCTATCATATACCCCAAGTAAAGGAAACAAGGAAGTGATGCACTAGGTTCCTACTTTATACACCAGGGGCAATTGTGCCTAATAATTGTTCTGTAATTAAGAAATTGCTTTTTGGTTTCTTTAAGAACAAACAGCATAGAGTAGCAAATACCAAGTCATCTATGGATTGAACTATATCTGAATTAAGGTTTTTCAAACAAGTCGTTAAAAAAAATACATTTTGGAAAATGCATTTCATACAGATAAGATACTTGAATAAAAGTAAAAAAATTAAAAAACATAGTTTGAACTTAAAACAATAGAAGTGGGGCAACAACTATACCATGGAGTGCTCATGAGCTCTGGTGGTAATTCACTCAAGGATTTCTCTTTCTCCAACTTCTGCGGAGTTTCATTTGATAGAAAGAACCCCAAATTATGTTTAAAGAAACGGCAGTCCCAACATATCTCTACATTTAAATGAAC